TTTTGAGTTTTCCAGTTGTATAGTTAAATTACAGAGAATACTGGGGATAATGTACATTTGCATGTCATCTGTGTGCATGAATTAAAGGATTAGTTCACTCAAAAATGAAAATTTACTCAACCTCAGGGCATCCAAGATGTAGACGAGTTTGTTTGTGACAAACTGTATCATTTTCAGTGGGAAAATAAATTGCACCTTGACATTTTAATTGTGTGTTTGTGTGTGTGGATATATAAGGAGAAAGAAGTAATATAAGATCTTGAACATATTTGTGTAAAAACAGTATATTTAATGGTCACACCGAATAATTCCAAACAACTACACAATGTATCCAAAATTACTACAGCATTCTAAATTTCATATAAAATGCCATGGAATGTAGATTCTCATGTGCTCCTCCATTGTATCAATCCAGTAGGAGATAATTCGGCTTACTACACTCTGGGACACAGCAAAGCATTCAGCAAGATCTCCTTGAAGGAAATTCAACTTCAGCTTCATCATGGTCATCAGAATTTGATCCATTATGTGCATCTTAAAATTGGAAGTGTAGAATTGCTGGAGATATTTAACATGTTCTTTAAAGACACTAAGGGTGAAGCCAGTGTACAATAAAGGGCTAGTGTCATTCTTGAGAATGGCAAGGGCTAAGGGATCTTCACTGTGGAACTGTGTTGCCTTGTGTAACATTATTTTATCCCCTGAGGCATAAGTGTGGTCTGTCAATGCCTGGACCCCCCACTGAGTGCAGGCATCACTGTACTGAAAGGGCAGCTGCAATGGCTCCGTTTGTGCGGTCTCATGGTCACCTTGCTCATTATCTGCCAAACACAATACTGAAGTCAGTCAGATGCTCAGGAGAAACTGATCAATTCTCCACCCCCATTTACAAAAAGTATTACAAAAAAGTAGCAAAAGTATTTTGTACATGGCACCATGGTGTTCCAGTCGCAGTACAGTGGTATTTTTATTCAATACAATCACAGTACCTGGCTTTAAGGGATAGTTCAACCAAAAATGAACATTTTCATCATTTACTCAACCTCGAGTTGTTCTAAACCTTTATAAATTTCTTTGTTCTACTGAACACAAAGTATTAACACAAAGAAATATCCCTCTATGCGCTTTTTTGTAACCGTTTTCTACTGTTATCAACAACTTCAGCTTAGCACTAAATATTATTCATGCCCAATAGGAGTGTCATCGATAAAGAAAGTGTTTAAACAATGTCTTTTGTTAGAGCACGTAACTTAACAAGAAGCTGTAACATACCTGTTTGTGGATATATCCTGACGAGACGTTGCCTCGGAGTCTTCACTGGAGCATCGTTTCTCGGGGAATGGATGATTTTCCGTGGGTCTGCCATCAACGAAGTGGAAAGAGCAAACGTACGGAAATTTCGGTGGTTTCTTTAAGTTTAAGGCTTTTAACCAAAGTCAACGAGCTTCTTCTCCCTTCGGAGGAGCGTGCAAATCATAGGATGCCCCACATCCACATTCAGCTCTGGTGCATGGATTATGGTCAAAACAAATGTTTTGCAGGTATTTTTTACGCTTGAACCAGCTATTATGACACCCCCTAACTACACAAAGTACGCCAGTCTTTCTGTGGTCCATATTAAAAGTAAACTAGCCTGTAAAATCTACACAGTGACCGCCAAACTACGGAATCACAATACAACTACTATTAGCGGAAGTGCTTAACCGGAAATCTGACACATTATAGTTCGAAAATGGCGGCGCCCGCGCTTACGTGAAAAATAAGGTAGATAAAGGCCAATAGGAAAAAAATAGGGAGGAGCAAGGGGTTGGGGTTTTGACTCATCTAAGTTTAAGGCTTTTAACCAAAGTCAACGAGCTTCTTCTCCCTTCGGAGGAGCGTGCAAATCATAGGATGCCCCACATCCACATTCAGCTCTGGTGCATGGATTATGGTCAAAACAAATGTTTTGCAGGTATTTTTTACGCTTGAACCAGCTATTATGACACCCCCTAACTACACAAAGTACGCCAGTCTTTCTGTGGTCCCTAGCCTGTAAAATCGAACGAATGAACGAATCGAATGAACGCAAAACTACGGAATCACAATACAACTACTATTAGCGGAAGTGATCTACCGGAAATCTGACACATTATAGTTCGAAAATGGCGGCACCCGCGCTTACGTGAAAAATAAGGTGGATACTTAGTGACAACAAGCAGCCTGTCACTTTAACAAGTGAAGTGTGCATTCGTGCGCGAACTAGTGATGGGCGCGTTCGAAACACTAGGCTTGTTTGAGATGCGCCTCGCCTGAAATGTAGGCGAGAGCAGGCGGCTGCAGTGAGAGGAGGAGTGAAATAAGCGCAGTCAAGACGGACAGTTCTAACCTCTCGAAGTGAAAACATGTATTTTAGATTTTTATAGAAATATGACAACAATCGCATTACTCACACAGAGATCGCACTGTAGTGTTTGGGAATATTCATGCATAATTTAAATACATAACCGCATGGAACCAGATAAAAAATTAAAACATTGTAGAAGAGAACGCAGCATCACAGTTGTCTGGACCAACAAGCATTAAGCTGTGTCGTTTCCCATCATGCTTTTGATCAGCGCAGTCGGTGGAGAGCAACTGCGCTCGACTGCACAATCCGACACAGCCGCCTCGCCGTCGCGAGAGTTTTTTTGGCACACGTCAGCATATCAGAGCAAGTCGGACGTAACTCGGACACATTTCTAACCAGCATGCATCTCGCGGTGATCACTGGTGATCGGTTCTGCGCAGATTTAGCTCATCTCAAACAAGGCTACTGCTTCACGAAGCTTCGAAACATTTGTGAATCTTTTGTTTCGAATCAGTGTTTCGGAGCGCGTATCAAACCGGCCAGGTCACGTGATTTTAGCAAACGAAGCTTACGAAGTTACGTCACTGTTTCGAAACGTTTCGAAACTCCGATGGTTCACCACTAGGGGGTGTTGATCTCAAAGTGAACCCATGAACCACTTCTCCCACGAAATTTTACTATTAAAAAAATAAGGAATTCAGGGCCAGATGTTATGGGATAAACAAAAGATAACTTCCCTTTAACACAGATGGCTATATAGTTTAAAAAATGTGTAAAAGCATTCAGTACTTTCAACCTACAAATCACATCATACCTTAAAAATAACAAAATGAGCTTATGATAGAATTAAATCCACCTCCTTCTCCTAACTGATAACACTACTCTTACCTGCTGTTTTTATAGACAGCTCTAATGAAAACAATTAATTAAAAAATTACATAAATCAATGAATTCATTAAATAAGTAATTTAGTCCATTGTGTGTTAAGGGTTTGATTATACTTAAATAAAACACATAACACAAGCACTAATATTTAATAGTATTTAAGTGTTTATTATTTATTTTAAAAAATCGTATTTCTAAAAAAACATTTCCATTTGTTTTGTAAGTTTGGTCTGAGTTCTTGATGCTTTTACAACGTTTTCACCAGCAGGTGTCGCCAGCATGTGCTGTTTCCAGTGCTTCGAAACATCGAATCATTTTTCGAAGCAATTGGTTCAATCGATTCAATGCTTCGAGAAGCTTCGTTTGTCCCATCACTAGCGCGAACTCACCTCAACTGTTTATCAGCAGTGTTAGGCAAGTTACTTCCAATATGTAATACATTAAATATTACTAGTTACTGTCTTCTGAAAGTAATTAGTAACATTACAATATTACTGTCTCTGAATTGTAATGCGTTACACTACTTTTGAGTTACTTTCACCAAAATCCACAGAAGTATTATAAAATGTTGTTTATTGCTGCTCATTCTACATCCAGTGGAGGGTAATGTGGTAGGTCTATAAAGCATAACATTATAAAATCATATTTAGATACCGGTATGTAGGTCTACATTAATGCAAACGGCGTTATCGCGCAGCCTACCTCTCTCATTCGGCATTAATCCAAATGTGTCCATATTTGCGATGTATTTGAATGCTAAACTATTATTTATGACGTAAACCAGGCTTACTTGCGCTTAAAAAACATCCTCGTCACATGAGCAAACGTGTGTTTGGCCCGAGCTCAGGCGGAATGGCACGGATTGTACGCAGTACGCACTATTAACCAGTGTATCTATATGTTTGGTTGACTGTATTTTATTCTGATAATGAACAGGCTGCAACGTTTGCAATGCTGTAGGCCTATGTGTGTGCGTGAGGCGCCGGTGCGGCGCGGTCGAACAGCGGAAACAAACAACAAAAAAATACTCCGTCATTTTTGGTCATACAGATCATTCGAAACTGCAATGTGTTTACTTTTATTTCTGTATGGAGTCTCGGTTTCCTTTCCGTGGACTTTCGTAGAGCGCCACGCCACAAAAATAGCCTACCAAACATATCTCTGTCTTTTCCTTTCGTTTGGTTAATCTGTTAATTAGGCTATTTAAGTCAAATATTTCGCATATTCATTATAATACTATGATTCAATAAAAACAAATTTTGTTATTTTTAGTTAAACTTAATTTTGCTTGTCTGCGCTGCGCTCGTCCGCCATATTTTTTCTCTTCTCCGACCCCACAGCTCTCTCCGAGGAAATAGACAAACTATTTTACCCGCGGATTTTTTTCTCCTATGCTGTTTTACGGTGTTGGAAATTCACCAATTAATTTTGATTTAAAATATGTTGTTGTAACTTGCGTTACTGAGATTGTAACGAGTAATAATATTACCCAAATTGTATTAGTAATGCGTTATATTACTGCGTTACAGCAAAATGTTGTAACTTGCGTTACTGAGATTGTAACGAGTAATAATATTACCCAAATTGTATTAGTAATGCGTTATAGTATTGCGTTATAGCAAAAAGTAATATACTACTGTAATCTTATTACTTTTGTAATGCGTTACTCCCAACACTGTTTATCAGTCCGTCATCCTCCGCTCAATTCCTCCGTCAACGCCCACAGCTTATACAGCAGCCAATCAGAGAGCAGTACACGCGCCGAGCGTTCATAGCGATGACCTCATCCCTAGAGTGGGATGACGTCAAATACAAGATGGATGGAATCACGACTGCTTCATGCTCAACGCAACTCTGAAACAAAGTCCAGTGTCGGAGCTCCGGGGCATCCAAAGCCACCAAACTAGGGTAAGTTGAAATGCTGAACAACTTTGTTTCGTCGTCTAAGTGAAGTAGCTGAATGTTGTTTTGGTAAAACCAGGCTTTCCTGACGAAACGCCGAGGAGATTTTCTCGCTGACGGAAGCGGCTGCTCTCAGCCTGTTGTGCAGGATGCGACGTCTGCGCAGTCGGCCACAGGAGAGGCTGTGTGTGCGCAGACGCGTGTTCTAATCGTTTCATTTCCTTTCTTGTGAATAGTGGAGGGAAGAAACGCAACCGGTTGCCTGTATTTTGTGACTTGTTTGCTAATATGGTCACAGTTTGGCAACGGTTATTCAACAGATGGTTTTATTTGAAACAGAGCTCGAGATTCAGAGGAAGGAATATGCAGCGAAATAATTTCATTTGAAATATAAACATACTCACGCCTCGTTTTCATGAGCGAATAGTCTCTATACGGCGTAAAACCAACTGTAACTAACGTTAGACATGATGTAATCAGCGGTCGTTATGCGCATGCGTAGACGCTGGGTAGGCCCGCTTACTGTATTTGATGACATTTATTTGCTTATTGTAATTCTACAATGACATTATTTAACAGCTTATTAAATAACTTAAATATGTATATTTTTCTAATTTGAGCATTTGAAATGTCAACTTTTTTCTTCATGGTTGTGTTTGCTGTCTTGATTTATAGTTTAATGAAATCATGTGACAGTGTTTAATTTTAAAATGTATTAATAAATTAATAGTGCTTGCAGTCAGGCTTCTTTGTCAGATTGTTTTCATGTTATGTTTTTTTTTACATTATATTGCAGTGGTTGTCAATCACTCCAGGGTGCCACATTATTCAAGAAAATATTCAAAGGTTAAATACTAAGAATATTAAAATAAATAATCATATCTGATTTCAGATGTTTCGATAACTATGTAATTTTTTAAATTAAAACAAAGTTGTTGGAAATGTGTATTTGTTTGAGAGTGACAAATGTGATGTCAGCTTACATGTTGTGCCTATCTTAGCATTTGTCAGCATTTTAATGTTTAAGCTAGGGCTGGACAATAATTCAATATCAATATGTATCGCGATATAATTTTTTTCAATAACGGTGATATGATTTTTAAACACATTTCCGATATTTCGATATACATTACCAGTGTTTCCCATACATTGATTTATTTGTGGCGTTTGACTTCGTTGAATAAACATGAGCACTGCACGTTTCAAAATCAAAACGCGTCGCGGGTGTTTTATATGAATGTATCTCTGAAGGGAACCTACTGTCTTCATTTAAGCTATTATTTATGTATGATTATGGCAATAATTTACTGTAAGATTTAGTTTTTAGCATTATTTAATGCATTGGGTAGCATTTATTAATGTACATTAATGTTAATTTCCACATATACTAATATATTTTTAACATTTCAAGTTGTATAAATTAGTGAATGTATTATGAACAAACATGAATTAACAATGCACAAAAAGTGTATTCATAGATTTGCATTAAAAAATACATAAATATGATGTAAAAATTGTTGTTCATTTGTAGTTCATGATACAGGGTGCATTAAGTAATGTCAACATACTGATATTTGTGAAAAGTGTTATCAAGATTATTTTTATGTAGCTTAATGGAAATGACAGTTGTAATGACTTTTCAATGTCACTAAATTTGTATTTTCTTTTACTCCCCTTCAAAGCCAAAATGGAGAGCCTGGGGTACTACTGTAACCCTTCCCATGGTATTTCACTGCTGGGTGCCCTCAACGAGCAGTGGTTGAAGGGTCAGCTCTGTGATGTTGTGTTGTTAGTGGGTGATCAACAGTACCAGGCCCATAAAAGCGTCCTTGCAGCATGCAGTGAATATTTCCAGTCTGTGTTCTCCAGAAGGGACTCAGAGAACCGCTCCATTGTTCAGCTTGACTTTTGTGAGCCTGATGCATTTGAGATTGTGCTAAACTACATCTACTCATCATCTCTGTTTGTGGAGAAATGCAGCCTGGCAGCTATACAGGAGATGGGATATAGCCTCGGCATTCCCTTTCTAACCAACATCATGTCTGTAAGACCTCAGGCGTCATACTCTGTGTCAAGAAAACGGATGTCGCTCTCTGAGGAGGAGGATGGTGCTTCTCAAAAGAGAAGTGTTATTGTACATCAAGGTCAAGGTGAGCAGCCTGGCATGGATGTGTTTCAGAGGAAAAGTTCGACTCTTCAGGGAAAACTGTTTAAACAGGCCACAGAGCCACCTTCGCTCACACACGATTTTAGTAATCAGAGCCAATCCTCAGGACACGTCAGACCAAATGAAAAAGAGACAAACAGTACCTCTAACAGCAGAAATTCAAACAAAAACAAAGACGATGGTGATTGCAGATATATCATCTCCTCACCAACATCCATACTGAGACGTCGAACTGAATACCGATCGGCACCTATGAGGCCACAACTAACATCCTCAGTGTCATTCAGTGAGTCTGTACAGCACACTAGCCTACATTCAGATCAAACTGAAGGCGCCATTGATGGAAGAATGGAAGCATTTCATGATTCCAGGCCAGTGGGTGATCATCAAGGTCCATGCAACCAAACCGTAGACCGAAGTGGGCCACTTATTAAAAGTCTGCTGCGCAGATCATTGTCAATGGATAGTCCCGTTCCTGTATTTTCTCCAGCTCTGGAGCTGAAGGACTCACAAAGTCGAGAACAGTCTGTAGTCAAGTTAATTACCACAACAGCAAGGTTGCCATCCCCTGAAAATGAGGATCGAGAAATGCCACTTCTTCTCAGGTCGAGACAACGAAATGCATACGAGATGGATGGCACTCAAACAACTCAACTCCGAATTAAAGCGGAGCCCAGCAGTCCCCTTGCTGACCCTTCTGAAATTGTTCGCATTACTGTTGGAGACAATCTGCCGGTAAATTTCAAAGACTTTCAGGCAAACTATGATGAAGGTCCCAGAGGGTACTTCACTCCCTCGATGAAGAGGAAGACTAAGATAGATGGTAGTTATATGCCCTTTAAGAGATCTAGGCCTGTTAATGAGCATCATCTGTTGCATCATGAAAGCACATTTGATGAGGTACCCTACAATTCCAACATGGACAATAGTAATGAAGAACCTGGAGAACTTCGGCCAAACAAAATGTTTAAGTGCTGGAACTGCCTGAAGGTTTTCAGGTCCAGTGCAGGTCTGTATCGCCATGTGAACATGTACCACAACCCAGAGAAGCCGTATGCTTGCGACATCTGCCACAAACGCTTTCACACAAACTTCAAAGTCTGGACTCACTGCCAAACCCAACATGGCGTGGTGCAAAATCCCGCACCCTCTTCTAGTTCCTATTCTGTCCTGGATGAAAAGTTTCAGAGGAAGCTAATTGATATTGTCAGAGAGCGGGAAATAAAGAAGTCCTTGATTATGAAGCTCCGGAGATCCAAGCAAGGCCTGCAGTCACAACCCTTCGGCAGGAAAAACAGGCGATCGAGGTCCTACGGATGCCCCTACTGTGGTAAAATGTTTTTCTTTCAATCACACTTAAAACTACATATGAAAGGACACTCCGCTGAGCCGGCTAACCTTGACATGGATGCAGAGAGAGACCTTCAATACAAGCAGCAGCAGCAGTTGACACATCTTAAAGAAAGCCAAGATAAGGACATCTTTTCTTGCCGGCTCTGCAATGAGAAACTGCCCTTTTTGACTGAATTAGAAGACCATGAGAGAGCTTGTAGGTATGCTACCGTCTGCCCATACTGTGGACTTCGATTCTCCAACTCAGTTGTCAAGAAAGACCACGAAGCTCACTGCAAGTACAAAAAGCTGACCTGTCTTGAGTGTATGCGCACGTTTAAGTCTTCTTTCAGCATATGGCGTCATCAGGTGGAAGTTCACAATCACAATATGATGAGTGTGAAGGAGCAGTTGACTCTCGGTCTCCAGGAGAGCAATCTTGACGAAACATCCAACGTTCTCGGAGTTCCTCCTCCTTCTCAGGAGTCGATACGTGACTCCAGAGAGGAAGCAGTGTACAGTGACTCATCAGTTCCGCCAATGTATGATTCTGAAGACTCATCGTCTTATGTCCCAGAGGACTTGAGCGCTCACGGTCAAGGGGAGCTGCAGGTCAAAGAGGAACCTCAAGAGGAAGCAGTATCAGCCAAGGATGGCATGAGCACCGCTTCTGTTGGATCCGAGGAACCAGGCGTTTGGCCTTGTGAGAAGTGTGGGAAGCTTTTCAGTGCCCACAAAGACCTGGAACGACATCAGGAACTGCTTTGCCACATCAAACCCTTCATCTGCCACATATGTCACAAAGCATTCAGGACCAACTTCCGCCTCTGGAGCCACTACCAGTCCCACATGTCCACGCCCGAAGAGCCAGGGATGAGAGAGATTGACAGGCTTCAGTCTTCTCCATCTCCTTCTCCACCTCTCACAATTTCCATCCCAGAGCCTCCAGCTTCTCAAGAACCTCCATTCAAAGCAACCCATTCTGGGATGGACGCCTCAGAAGAGGAACCTAGAGGCTCCATGTCACCGTCAACCAAACTCAAGAAGCCAGAGCAGGACAAAAAAGGTGACGATGAGCCTAGGGAACAATCTCACGGCAAGTCCGACAGCACAGACAAAAGTATCACCCCTCAGGAATCTGACACGCTATTTTACCATGCCCCAACTCTCTCTGCGCTTACCTTTAAACGGCAGTACATGTGCAAATTCTGTCACCGGACATTTAAGACCGCTTTCAGTCTGTGGAGTCACGAGCAGAGCCATACGTAAGAGTGCAGAGTTGCACATTTGTAGCCCTAACCATTAAAGTTGACTAACTTGGACCTTGTCTCCTTTAATAAAATAAATATCAATATGTGCAATAATTTGTTTGTGGACACTGTCAGTTACAAAATGTACAGACACTTGTATATATTATACATTTAGTTTATTTTTTTAAAAGTTGGGTAAAATAGGAATTCTTAACTGTGGGAAGAAAAACAGAATGCAGTATATATACAGTACAGGAGTTTTCTCACATAAATATATATTAAATGGTTTTTTTTTTTTGAACAGGCTCATTTTTTAAATTGAATAGACATTACAGTTATTACTTAGCTTTTGAATTAAGGTGAATGCATGGAAAAAGCACCTACTTATCAGGCTAACAAAAATTCAGATAAATTTGGAAGAAAAAAAGATATAATTCAGGGAACATAATTAGATTTTATTAAAAAAACAACAACAAAAGTATGAATAATTTGCTTGCTTGAATTAGTTGATGCAAACATAGTGGACAGCATTATTATACAGGGAAAGTGTAGTGAATTTATTTGAAATCCCATTGCAATGATTTTCTATTTTTACAAGATCATCATAAATGTCCATGAAGCATCTGGCTTCAGCTGCTTAACTGTCTTTTACAATGCCAGTGTGTCTTTGATTAGCCTCCTCATGGTAGTGCTCACTGACGTGCCCAGAGAATCAGTGATCTGGTACGTGATCTTGTACAGATACGGCTGGACGTCTTTCAAACTCGTATCGAACACATTGTACACCTCCGATTGTGTGGGCATCTTGGGAAGATACTCATGACGGTTAATGACCTCCACGATGTTGATGACTTTCTCGCCGAGCTTCTCGCCAACCTTCTCCCTGCAGATCTGGCGCTCTTGTTCGTTGGCCAGGTTCACCACGTTCACCTTGATGCTCCAGACCTCCCACGGGATGCATTCGTCTGAAAAGGGCCAGCGTGACTTCTTCTTCTGGTAAAACTCCAAAGAGATCTGACCCATGCCATCACTCCCAGAATTACCAAGAGCATCCTGGGTAGAAACAAGGTTGTGGTTATAAAATGTGTAAAAACGCAACAATCAGAACACTGCTACCTTATTAAAGCCTTTGGGATATGAATTTGTTAATAAAAAATGGACAGAAGTAATTTAGTAATTGATAGAACAAATCTTTAGGAAACCAAATATAATAAGGCTACAAAATATAGTCTTGGTATAATTGGACTATATTTTGAATTCTCTGTTAGATGAGTTACATTTATTTAAGAACATTAAGAATTACAGCATTTAAAGCAATACAATTTTGGAGAAGGCAAGAATCCCCAGTTTTAAATGATTGGTTAGAGTTAGTTTCCATAGAACTATGGAACATGAAATTAAGAGCAAAATAATATTTTATTGAAATTTATTTATAGACACCTCTGAAATGAAAGAATATAAAGGAATACATATATTAGATGAATTCGTATAGTATATTATTTTTAGGCATTGTCTCTTACAGTGTGATTATAAATGCGTAATATAGATATAATATGAGAACATAAATTAATTTTCCATCTGGAGATGTAAAAACCTACCCACTTGTTTATATATTGTCTTTGTTTTTATGTGTTGGTGCTGGGTATTATTTACACAAAAGAAATACTGAGGGGAAAGTATGTTTTTAGAAAAGAAAAAAACGTAGGCTATATGAAATGAATGGAAAGACATAAAAGTGTTCCACCAATAAGTGTTTGGTGGAACCATGATTAAGTAGAGTGATACTCAAAGTTAATTCAAAGAGTATTCTGGTACTACCATGGTGCATGTCCAAACATGGTGTTACCATAGTACACCTTTATAGTGAATTAAAGCCTAATAGTCTAATAAAATACATCTCTTAAACGAACTAATGTCATTAAAAGTAGCCTACCTTAAATTCGGCCACCGCTTTCCTGATAACCCTGTCCAGCTCATCAGAAGACACTCTCACTAATGTGAAGTCGATGAAGTCGCAGTCCACGTCTTGAGTTCCCACCGTGCCAATGGAGTACGTGCCCTCTTTCTTATAGTGAAATTTACCTGTGCTGCGGTGCAGGAGGATCGTGTGCAGGAGGGCTAGCATGGCCTCATCCACCTGCCTGCCCTCCACTGACACCTCCAGGACTTCTGATCGACAGTTCATGATATTCTATAATAAGGTTCTACAGCTAATAAAACAAAAAGACTTTCGAATGATCTGTTGATCTGAGCCCAACTGTGTCAAATAGACACGGATCTAAACAAATTCAGTTATTCTGCTTCTAAAAAGCGCTGAGCTGCGCCACTTTAGACTGACTGAAACAGGTTACAAAAAAATAGCGACTTAAAAATATAATTACGAAAACCAAACGTCATTTAAGCTTCTAGGGCGTTTATATAACATGTTTACCTTAGGCACGAAATGTCGACACGCATTATTTTTCTTGCAATAAAGTGCTTTTGTTTTGTAAACACACGTCAGATGTACAGGGTGGGGATAAGGGACAGTGGAGTTTGGCGTTTCAATAATCGCTAGTGGTTGGTTCACATTATGTTTTCGAGATAAATAACAGGTTCAGCAGTGGTTCATTACTGAGTAAGAACTGGACTGAAATGATCGTGCTAGCAAGATTTAATGGCTAGGATTTTATCTTTTTCTTTAGCTAATTTCTGAATTAGTGGCGATATAATGTATTTGCTATATACTTCAACATTCGTTTTTTATTATGATTATATGCATAACATAAACAAACAATACCAAGAGGAAAGGTATATAATCAACGGCATTTTACCAAGTGGTGAGTTACAATAAATGCAAACAATAAATATCAAAGCTGTAGTATATAGCTAAGTATATAAATAAGCAAAAATAAAACAAGAATAACGATTATGATAACAAAAAGTCCGTATTATATTTAATAAAATTACTACATGCTAAAGCCGTATTGTTCAGAAGTATATATAAAATAATAATAATAAATAAATGGAACCATTTAATAATATTAATAATTTTATATGTCTTTTATGCAATGAACTTTAAATATATATTTTACATTCTCATTACTACAGAAACCACATAAGTAATGTATATTTAACTTAAAACTTGTCAGAATTAGTACTCGTAAACTAAAATGTCAGTGGCGTCTTGGGACTTTTATTTTGAAGATAATCTTCCCAATCAGTGTCTGTTGTTTTGGAGGGAGGATCAAAAGGAAGAACAAAATAAGAAACGTAAGTCCATGTATGTTTATATTTTAAAATCTAATTTTGATTTCACAAAAATATTCTATCGATAGTAAATCCTTCAAAGAGTGACTCTGAATGTGTTCACCCAAATAAGGCTATTTTATATGGCTAGAATTAGCTGTCATCTGTCCTAAACTGGCATAGTAACGTACCGACATAAACGGCATTTCAGCCTGGTTTTTGTCAGTGTCAACAGTAAAATGCACAGGACTGTGTCCTTCAAAATACCTTTGAAGACAGCTCTTCAAAGGTATTTACCCATCAACAAAGTATTTTTTGGATTTGAAAATAGCACAGAAGTACCTTTCTTACCGCCTCACAAGAGTCACAGATTACTAGAAAAGTACATTTAGTTAAATCCGTGCTGGTCACAGAGGCAGGTATCTCACAGGAGGAGGCAGTGGAGGTGTTGCAGGTGTTGAGGGATGATGGCCAGCAGAGGGCGGCAACAGAGAGCCTAACAGCTCTGGATCTCCTGCACCCAGGAGCAGGCTCTGGGGAGCACTGTGACCCTCCTGGCAGAGGATACAGGTCTGATTTGAGTAGCTGAGATGTTGGGATGTCTAAATGTACATATATTCAGTAGAAAATGCTTTATGAGCTCTACAGGCCTAATACTGTTTACCTGTAGTTTCATGCAAATTTATGAGACACAAAATGTTTAATTGTTCAATAATCTGTCGTTGCTTTTCCTCTTAGAACAGAGACAGGCTTTAGAGGAACTTACTGTTGAGAAGATCCTCTCCAACCTCTTCTTGGTCCGTTGCCATGACTATGTAGAGCTGTTAGCTGAGGTTTACTTCCTACCTTGCTTCCTTTCCGAGCATCCTGAGGTAAAAAATGGATAGTCAGGACCGCAGCTAAGGACAACCCTTTCAGCAAAGTGATATTACTGCTATTTACATGCTCATAAATTACATGTTATTGTATCATCCAATCATAGGTGCGGTTAGTAGTGATTGACAGCATCGCCTTCCCATTCCGGCATGACTTTGAGGATCTTTCTCAGAGGACCCGCCTCCTGAACGGCCTTGCCCAGCAGCTTATCCAACTAGCAACACAACATAGTTTAGCGGTATTTAGCAACTCTTACTACTGAAACAGAATAATGAATGGCAGACAAATCAATTTAATTATTTATTTTTTGCAGAATACTTATATTTGGTTAAATAAAAATATCTAACATTTAATAAAAAGTCATTTAATATTATATGTGTGTGTGTATTTGTTCAGGATATTTGATTAGGATATATATAAGATTTGATTAATTATTTTTGAATACTCACATTTTGTTAAATTAATAATAATTAAATTAAAATAAAATCATATTTGTTAAAAATATGAAATATATAAACAACTTAAGGCAATATTTCTCATTTCCGTTTAATTTAACTTGTAATTTAATTAATGTAAGAACTAACTCAAATTAAAACTAATAAAAATGATACAAACTATACAGGCATAAAATAATAACTAATAAAAATATAAAAAACAACAAAATTACAAAAACTTTATAATAAAAAAAACAGAAAGAAAAACAGAAGATCTAAATCTAAAATCTAACTCAAAATATTTACAAAAACTAATAGTACATCAATAATGCTAAAATAACACTGGCCTATGTATATATATATATATATATATATATATATATATATGTGTGTGTGTTTGTATGTATGTTATATATGTTATATGTAAATGTATACATAATATTAATATCTCAACTGTATAAAAGAATATATGAAAAATAAATATTAAGAATATATATAATTTTTTTATAAAAAATAATTACGTTCAGTTATCATGTGCTCTTAGGTTGTTTTGACCAATCAGATGACGACAAGGGTTTCAAATGGCCAATCTAAGCTGGTTCCTGCATTAGGTAAGACATAACAGATATGAATACAGTCATGTATTGTATTGTTTTGCATATTCACCAACCTAATAACAATTAAAATTCACACCTCAGGTGAGAGTTGGGGTCATGCTGCGACGCAGAGGCTCATCCTGCACTGGGAGGGACTGCGAAGGTAAACACAGACACTTTTAATTTGCTATTTGTGTGGGAGGGTGTTTGTGTTTTTTTTTTTTTTTTATTGGATTTAGTCTTTTAAGTCCACTCAACCTGACACAGCAAAATGTGGCTTTAGAAAATAGAAGCCAACATCTGTGGTGTTCTCAGCCAAATGTGTCTTCTAGAGAGAGAGAGAGTGCATGTTGCATAAACTCTTTACCCTTCACCTCCGTGGGTGATGGAATGAATCACTTTGAACCTAATGCATCCTGCATACTTGCCAGTCTATTACTCTGTAGCAGCAGGCAGCAGAAAGGCACAGAGAGCATCTCCATCATGCTTTCTCGTCTCTTGCCATAAAGTTGAAGGTCTTCCCGCTGGCTGTACAGTTCAGCCTCCCTGCATTTGAATTGCCACAGACCCTCTTGCTTTTTAAACCGAGCAGACAAGGTCAGAGAGGGAGAGACTGTGCACTGTGCAACGAAAAAAAAAGTAATTTTATGCTTTTCTCACCTGTCCACTCTGTGTTTAGGCTCGCCTCCTTGTACAAGTCCCCAAGTCAAATGGAGGCCACAATTCAATATCAGATTACAGTAAGTTTAAGAGTAACAGTGGGGAAAATGTAAGGACAAAATATGTTATGTAAGAAAAATGTATAAAGGTGTTAATCACAGGAATGTGTGTGTATACTGTATATAAATGTATAAAGAAAAATGTAAGGAAAATAAAATATATAATAGATATATACAGTAATGTTATTTTAGTGTTATTGATATACTATTATAGTTTTTGTTAATATTTTGAATTAGATTTTAATTTTCTGTTTTCACTTTAATTTTTTTAAGTTTTAGTAATTTTATTGTTTTTGATATTTTGATTTTAAATATGCCTTTTTAGAATTGTTTTTATTATTTTTATTTATTAGTTTTAGTTTAAATTTAAGTTAGTACTTCAGTTAATTAAATTAAAAGTTAAATTAAACAAAATATTGCTTTGGCAACTAGATGAAATAAAACATTTAAGTTACATTTTATTTTATTTTGGTTAACGTATAATTTAAGTACATGACGTTTTAATGGTTTTAATTTTAGTTAAATATAATAACCCTGTAATAGTATGCATATATATACATTTGTGATCTCACACAGGTCCAGGGTTTTAGGGATGCCCCAGATGAACCCAGAACTACTCCTGATTCATCTGCAGTCTCATCTCCTTCAGGAAACCACAGCAAACGCCCTCGAATGGAGGATCTGTCTTGAGGATGTATTGCAGACCATTTTGGTTTTCAAAGCAATATTCCTACTTCAAAACTTGAAATATGCTGAGAAAAAAAACAAGGAAACATCATAGCAGGAATGTACAGATATGTATATATTATATAAAAACACAATTAAGGACAATTACTTCTTGGATTATTATTGAATAAATTATAGTATATTGATTGTTGGCCCTTAGTTATTTATTTTATTGTGGTATTAGTGGATCAATTAGTGGATCCAATATAAATTTCCCACCAGACAGTGTTACAATTTAGGAGGAAAGACTGAAAATGCCAAACCTATTCCAAACTTTCTAACGAAAATTGGATGACGAACCAGGTTAAAGGCCATATATTTATCAAATTATTAAAAGTTGGTGTGCATTATTTCCCACCGCTTTACTAATATTCTGTATTTAATATATGCAAAATTGTTTTTCTGCCACTTCAAGTGCTAGTGATTAGTCAAACCAATCATCGTTAATCATGTCACCTAATTTGCACAGGCCCAAAATTTGTGCCATAATATGCAATTAACTAAATTTGTAATAGTGAATTGAATAATTTGGCCCTAATGAACCCAGTGAGAAGGATTTGTTGTGTACATTGTGTTGTACAGGTCATATCAGGATGACTTTCTGCCTTGATTTATGCATGAGTGACAGTATAGAGATAAAGAGTTTACCGCTCACATTCACCTCCAAGTAACATTAATAATTTAGCCGCAGATTGTGCCGGTTCAATATCAGTATATCATCCAGGTTCGTTCTCTTCCAGTGTATATGTGTGCGGTTCATAATTTTAATTGAATTATACACTGGGAAGCCAGCATTACATCAGCACGAAGATAAAATATGAGCACTTCACCTCATATTTCCTTGGCTGGCGATGGATAGTTTAGACACCCTGCAGAAGAACTGACTTAAATGCTTTATGCTCATGTGGAAAGAAGGGGACATTGTGTTCTTGATGTTTTTAACCTCCATGTTAGACACAGGAAGAGATCATGATTGAAGAACTGCCTGAGACGGAGTGCTGGACTAATAAGATTACATCATCTGGGGCTGGTTTTAGATGAGTGACTGTTTAGTTGTGTCCTAACAAGCACTTGGCCTCAGGCTTTTTCAGGTGAGGAGGAAGGTACACTGGGTATTTCTACACTGCTATGAAACTGTCATCCTGGGTCACTGCATCAGACATCGCTTTACCATATGATTGATCATTTTGAAGGTGAACATGACAGGTTACTAGCTGACTATGAATACAGTTTCAGATTGCTCTATACAGGCAAGGCTATACTTTATTCTTTACAAATATGCACCATGGTAACCATCGAAATACCATAGTAGCTTTCATAATTTTTCTGACATTTCGTTACCTAGCAATAGCTGTGGTAACTATGATATTTCACCACAAACTATGGTTACCCTACATTTCTGAAAAGGTTAATACTGAGTTTGAAATATGCTTAGAAGATTTTAGATTGTTTCCTGTCATTTTAATGGTTAATGATAGTATCTGGCAGCCCACATTTGAACTAATAATAATAACAATGTCTCAGCTATAGCTGGCTAACAATAATATTTAGTTTGAAAATATTTACACTAACCTCCTGACACCCTGCATCCTCATATGAGGACATTATATTTTAGTGAATTTCTCTGAGACTATACATGCCACAGTCTGGATGTCCTATACAGAGCATATTCAGGACTTTTCAGAGATACTAAATGTTTGGATGTTTCACCATGACCACCCCCTCTCCTTGGTCTTCAAAAATGTCTGATATTAATTTAGTGACACTCTTATGGAAATATGATAATATTTTGTAATCATTTAAATCTGACTAATTTTTAAACTGTGTCATAAATCAACATCTCAGGAAAATGTTATGGGGTTCCAAATCAAAATATGACTTTTTGTTACGAAACAGGACGTTGATTTCATACATGTCCTCATATGAGGACACCGGGACTAAAAGCATGACATAGTTGAGAATTATCTTTATACAAAGTTTGGTCAAAAAAAGAATGAAAACTAAAAATGTATTGGTGATTTAAAAAAAAAAATTTGTTTTTGCCTATGCATGTTCATTCATGTCTTTTTATTTTTTTAAAGAAATTGAGTCCCGATGTCCTCTACCAAGGAGTAGCATAACTTATGAATGAAATATCATTTTTATTATTTTTTATTTTTTGAATGCTCTAAACAATGTAATGACATGAACAAATACAAACTTTTTCCTAAAATGTTTTGCCGGGTCTTAAGAGGCTAATGCATACTTGAAAGGGTTAATTTTGCTTTTAAGATGATCTAGCAACCCCGTTGAACTAACTAGGCATGTCCTAAAACTACAATAAATATAGGCTATCTTTGAAGCCATATAAGAAGCTTTTAGATTTTTTTCTGTCATTTTAATTTTTAGGGGTTAATAATATCTGGCAACCCGCAGCTGAACTAACAATGTCTGGGAGCGGAACAGTTAATTCCCAGCGATGATATGAAATCTACATCAGTTATTTTTAGCTTAAGCTCTGATGTCCTATATACAGGCACACAGAGCATCACTTATCGAGTTTTCACACTCATAAACAATCTCTCTAAGAGCTCTGTCGAAGTAAACCGTGGTATTTTCGATTAAACGATTAAATAATTGTTTCGCACGGCGTCTGAATCACAGTCTCACAGTAGATTATTAGTAGTCTAATTAGATTTTAATAATAACCTAATGTGCATCAAATTTCCGAGGGATAGCCACCAGCTCTCATAGTGACAGTTTTAATTGTATTGATATTGGGGCCATTAAGAATATTCACTGAGTAGTCTAATTATTTCAGCTTTGGAAGGAAAGGGTTATGATCCGTAAAAACTGCGAGATAACGTTGAAACTGACTTGAAGGTGTGACAAATGAGGACCTTGCTCTTAAACATGCCGACAAAAGCAAACCAGGCCAGAATTAAACATGAAGCATAGGCTGGTTACGTCACAGGTATGTGCTCGGCCGACGTCATACTTTCACGCAGCTTTGATGTGGCAAAAAAAGGTTGGTTTAGCGCGCGCATCATGGACCAACGTCTACTGGAAAGTTATTTATACCAAAACCGGATATTCTTACACTATCACTGTTTTAAATATAATCCGGACGTGCGCCTTTTTATGTGTTTTTTCCCCTCAATACACATTATTCTCTTTTTGCGCATAGAGAAATACAGAACACAGCACGTGCACAAATGCCTAGATGAAATGTAAAAAGGTACATTGATTAAATTATAAAATTAAAAATGTAATTTAAAGTTTTTAAAATTACAAAATGTATTAAAATAACTTTGCAGATTAGGTTATTTATATAAAAATGTTTAAAGTATTAGCTCTGCAAAATAATGTAACCACATGTAGGCTATTTATGTGGTCAGTCAGTACTGGAATATTATACTTTTTACGGATTTGCTCCTCGGATTTGCCAAACAAACTGCTTGCCATTTCTAAAAGAACTTTTTTTTTCCCAGTCTGGTGGGAAACTAGAGGGTCTCTGGTCACAATTGCGACATGTTTACATAGGCCTACTATGATTTACATAAGACAGAACAATCTGAATAATACATTAATAATACGTTCAAATATGTATCTTGATAGTGTGTCTGTATTATGACATGACTTTCCACATGCGTCACGTGACTATTTACACCGTGTAAATAAAACGTTCTATGTAAAATACACTACATCATCAGTTTAGACCCTTTAAAGTCAAGAGTAAATTTCCGTCACAAATATATGGGATTAAATGGGTTAATGATAAGGTTAATTCGCCCCCCCTCCTCTCCTTCATACCCCGCCCCCATGTGACGTCACGCATGTCTGTTGCGCGAATCCCTCTCCGTTCACGCGAGCGCGCGCCCTCCCTAACTCGCGCGACTAGAGTCGCTCCAGCCTATGATTCAAAGTAGTGTTGATTTCTTGCCCGGCTTCAGCTGTCTCTGGTCTCTCCAGGAATGAGAAGCGATGGCCGGCTCTGCCAACGAGGAGAAAACCTTCAAGAGGTTCTTGGAGCTCTTCTTGCGGGAGATGAGACCACCTCTCCAGGAGGACGTACCTCTACCTATGCGCCCCTTGTCGGACCTCATCTCGGAGGACGAGGTGGAAGGGGAATGTCTCGACCTGTGTCTCCAGCACCTGTGTAAATAGTTAAGTACCGATGCACCTTCGCGCTGCATTTGCATCACTTACTATGCGCGTGTCCTAATATTATACTGTAGGGTTGTAAACATTAAAGAGCGTAAGAATAAAAACAAGAGGGCGAAGGACTAAAGGAAACTAAGTCCTGGTCCTGTGTTCGTGTAGCTGAAGTAACCTGCACAGTTATTTGTGTGTTTGTAGATGAGAAGCACAGTGTTATAATTCGCGTAGGGAACTAAGCAGTTCTAGAATGTTTCGTACATTTCAACACGCGTAAAGTTTTAATCTGGCCACTTCAAAGACTATAAAATGTGAGCTTTTCCAAATTGGTAATATCGCTCTACGTTGATGTCTACAGGTGTGACAGTAATTTTCATAGTGCTTATATTAACATTTATTATTTTTATTATTACTAAATTGTCACATTCTACTATTTAGTAATATGTTTATTGATATTATTACAATGGTAGCAATAACAGAAATACAAGGGAAAATAAGACCACTAATAATTTTTCATATATTTTTAGTACAAATGCAAGCAGATTTTGCGGTCCATATTGTAGTTCATTATTCCGAATAGGCTACACCCTCCGTTCTCCAGTGACCCTCTGGATACTCCTGTCTTCAGTACTCTGATGGGGTACGAGCACGGAGCACCTGTATTCCCCTTATTTTTGCGTAGCGCTCCGACGTAATCATTTTGACTCAACCCTTTTCTTTTGATCATATGTTACCGATATATATTCATCTGACAAGATCGCATGCTTATCAGATTGTAATCTGAGCGAGCATCCGTGTCCCTGTATCAAGCGTTGGACGGGGTTCGTCCCTCGATGACATAACTGAGCATGACTGGTTTTGATTCAATGCACGATACATGCACACAGTTACCTTTTTCTCTCAAGATGTCGGCAGTTGTGTGCGCCATCGCCATGTGCCGCGACACACCTGTCTACAGCTTCATATACATTCAGCGCGAACAGCCTAGTGTAGTGTAGCGAGCGATCAGCGTGGTATCGCGGTGTTTTGAATTCTGGGCGAGATCTGTGGGAAGGGGTTAAGTTTGATAAACTACGTCATTGGCTTGCTATAAATAGCCCATTCAAACCTAGCAGAATCTTTATGAGCATGAAATACTCATACACATCTAATGGATAAATGGCTGCGCAAATGGCCCAAAAGCTGCACATTCCCTGAGTCAGGGTGTTGCAGCTATACTCTATTGGTTAATTTTTACTTTCACGATTCATATTTTAGTTTCAGCTTTGTTTGCATCCACTTTGTGGCTATTATATATATTTTATAGGTGTGGTAACATAGTTTCTTTTCGGCATGTGTATTTTCATGGAGAAGATTTCAGGGCCGTAACCATCACAGATATTAATTGTAATCTGAATATTATTTGACATTGATAAGTTGAATATTCAAAGAAATATTATTTGACATTCATATGAATATTCAAAGAAATATTAAACATTGATTATATTTGAAGAGTCTGATTATTAATAGACATTGATTCTAATTGGAATACTCAGAATATTATTGGACACTGATTATAATCTGAATATTCTGAATATTATTAGACATTGATTATAATTGGAATACTCCAAATATTATTGGAAACTGATTATAATATTATTTGACATTGATGAAATTAATATTCTGAGAATTATCAGAAATTGATTATAATTTGAATACTCTGAATGTTATCGGGCATTGATTATAATCTGAATATTCAGAATATTATTAGACTGATGAATACTCTAAAGAATATTAGACATGAAGTATAATCTGAATATAATTAGACATTGATTATAATTAGAATAATTTAAGTATTATTATTGGACATTGTTTTTAACCTGAATATTCTGAATATGGATGTAACGATTAACCACGAGCCGGTCGAAAATCGATTCAAATATGTGACAATTCAAATCGGTTGAGATGCCAAACAAATCGCGATACAATTGGATTAGGAGTTTATATGAATGTATCTCTGAGGGGAACTGACTATGTTTAGAAAAGTTTACGTGGTATTTTCTTTTCGTCTTGCCTCTGAACAATGCATATTAAAGTAGTGTTCATAAGCGCAGCTCTGCTTTGTTTTCAGCGGTAACTAAGGAAACACTGTATCATTGCTGTTCATTAGCGCCACCTGCTGTCAGAGAGTGAATCTGCATCTCATTCAACTCGTCTGCTGTTTTGTTCAGATATGTTTTATGTAGTATAGTTTCACAAAACTAAAGTCAGACCATTCTGTTTTTGCTTCAGACTTCTAAATTATACAGTCTAATTTAGATTAAAAACTTCTCATGCTGCATGTATGCCGAATCTTTGTTTGGATCATGATTCAAATCCAGTGGTTGCCTCTAATTTTAAATGGAAAGAGCACAGACAAAG